TCACAAGGAATCTTCTGGTCAGGTTTACATCTTGTTTTTAAATGTATGTACAACAATAGCTATATTTAAGGGATTGCTCTTCTCAGCAGAAGTATTTACATACATTTTGACATCTGCAGCCAGTTGAAAGGGATAATGATTGTTTTATGACTTAAATATCCACAGCCAAAGGAACATTCAGGAAGCCAATCTGACAGTTTGGTCCTGACACTGCCAAGAATGGAGACTTTGTGGTGCAGCTGAGCTGGGACCATGTTCACACTTAGCTCACATCTGCACAGTAAGTGCAAAGTATGATCAAAATAGCCTTTCAGGACTATCTTCTGCCTAAATATTCCTGGGATCCAACAAATGGCTGAGGAAACAATGCAGTGTGTTCCCTCAAACATGCCTGGGAGGCTTCAGACCTGTGTCTCAGATCACTCTGATAACAAGCAGTGGGGACAGAGGACACGACTGATAGAGAGAGACAATGTGGTAGATTATGAAAGGGATTGGGAAGAGGATGGAAAGAAAAGGTGTTTAACTATGAGATCCTAAAATACTTCTCTGCAGGACTTGACTCAGCCAGAAAGAACAGGGAGGACATGCAGACTCAGCCTGTGAGAGCAGACACTGTCCCATGGCTCCTAAAGCTGCTTCAACTGGCTGTGACTGAAGAAGCATTTTGAGACAGAGAGTGGTAAGGAAAACTAGGGAAGTTCCTCTCTAAGTACATGGGAGAAGGGAGGAAATGGCATAGTGAAAATTTCCACACACAGAATGATGTACTGAAGTTAGATTAGAATCCTTCTATGAACTCAATATCATGGAATCATAGAATCAACTAGGTTTGAAAAGACCTCAAAGATCATCTAGCCCAACCCTACTGTGGCTAATATATGACAGAAGAGATATTCTAGAATGTACAGCTTTAAAACTGATCAAGGAACATCGCTTTTGCCATACCCCACAGCTATGGGCTCTGGAACTCACTTCCACATCTGGAGTTCAAGGAAAGACAGTTTCAAGACAGCTGTACATGTGCCTGGATAAGAATACCCGAAGAGGGGATCACAAATTGCTGTGGTATTTTACCTCACAGATACTGGAAACTTCACAGAAACTTCCTTTGGCACACCTGGGTTCTCCCTTTTCAGAAATGGAAGAGCAGGACAGCCCAATCACTGATTCAATGGAACAATTCCAATACTAATGAGGAGTCCGGAGGCAAAAGCAGCTTGCACTTGAGATTTGGGATACACGGAGGCCACCATGCTCTCTACAGAGTTCCCATGCTTATGCCAAACACAGATCTTCTCTCACAAGGTTGTTCTTTATTCAGGCTGGATAAAGTCTTGAGCAGCCTGGTCTGGTGGGAGCTGTGCAAATCACTAGACGATCTATAAGGTCCATTCCAACCCCTTAACATACTATGAAACTATGCATAACTTACCTCGGCCAAGAAAATGAAGCATCAGCCCCTGAGCCAGCAGCATCTGCCCAGTTCTCAGTGTGCAGCCCCAGCCACAGTCTGTGGTTAATGCAGAGCCCTTGATCTGGGGGAATTCCTCCCTGTACGTCAGCCATATCCTAGAGATAAAATCTTTACGGAACTCCTCAACATTTCCTGAAATCTCTGCACTGATTTTATCAAAATTGGACCCATCTGGAGAGAGTTCACCAGAGTCTGCAAGGCAAAGCACAGTTTAAGGTATAACTTGGCGTGGAACTTCTGTTCTTGGAAGGGAAGTAACAAAGCTATATATTCTGATAGAAAAACAGGGGAAATTTATAAAATAACAACTGCTTCAAGTACAAGAAAGGAAAACTGGATGGCAAATATAATAGAAAAAAAAGAGAGGAAGACTAAGGAAAGAGAAAAGCAGACATCACTGTGCCAGTGGTATCACTGACCTGCAAGGAGGCAACTTCTTAATTAAATGGTGAAACAGAGAGAGATTGTTAGAAAACTGCACACTGGAAAATGCTAACAAAGGCATTGGTGTAGTGACATCTTGTACAGGTATTGGCACTTCTTAAATCAGGAGTTTTTAGAAATGAAATCTCAAATTGATGAAGTGTAAATTGCAGCACTAATATTTACAGAGAGAACAAGGCTTCAGTGTAAAATCTGGCTAAAGCAGGAGGGGCTGCATTAGTTATTTTCTAAGCTTTTCATGTTTACATTCTGAGTTTGATTACTATTAATGAGAGGCTTTCTAGAAAGATTAAAAATGCATCCCCAGAGCTCCTGCTGAGCAAGACTGGAATGGGTGAAGTGCTCTGTACATACCCTCAGTTTTGAAGTGGTAACATTTTCCCAGCAGGAAGACTGGAGAGTTTCTGCTGAAGTAAGTTTTGGTTTTCAATACCCAACCTAAAACAGATGCAAAACAAATACAAATCTGTGACTGAAATATTCCAAAAGGAATTGCTAACAGCACCTGGTTAAGAGAAAAAGTACTGAAATTGGGTTTTGGCCTCATAAAAACCAAAAGGTTTAAGAGTTCTACCAAACACAGGTGAGAGTTCTGGTTTTAAAGTAATGACGTTACCTATATATCAATGTTAATACAATTGTCCTATACTGTGAAATTGTTAGGGTACAGAAATACTAAAGCTGAGCTCAAGTTGCTTGGTCTCTACTGGCAATATTTCTTACTGCATGGTTTGACTCTGAGGTTTTCAGCTCCTACAATAACACACAATAAGCTTCACATGTGACCAGTGAAAATCCAAGAAGAGCACTGCTTTTCCCATAGGATTAACTGAACTTACTTTAACACCTAATTAACTCGCAGATCTCAGCCACAAAAAGGGTATCCTAACATGCTACACAAATTCCAATTGCCACTTTTTAGGTTTGGACAATGTCCCACATAGTGGCTTTTTCACCCAAGTCTGAAACCTATGGTCTTTCACATCCTAAATCCATAGATTTTCCTGATCTTTTCCTATCACATACAGGCTACTATTCCACTTCAATCACATGAAAGCCTTAAAGAAAGTAGAATAAAGTATCTTGCCAGACATCTCCACGGCTCAGTTATGAAAATTAACAGCATTCATCAGAAACATGGTGGCAAATCTGAGCAATCTCAGTCCTGGAGGGAAGCAGAAAAACCAAGGACTAATTTGATTGCTCATAAACAAGTTACTGATGTTCAGTGTTCATTCTTACTGTGGAAAAGAATGTTACTCAAGGGTGTGAGGTAGATTGTTCAGCAGAGTTTTGTATCTCGCACATCATCCTATTTTTTTCCAGAAAAGCCCAAAAATCTTTGTGCAGATGATTCCATATTATCCCTGTTTAAGTCTATGCCGATCTAGTGTTACTTGCATAATATGTTCACTGTTTTCAAAATAAGTAGCTTAAAAAGAAATGATGCAAATTTATTTGCAAAATGAAAAGCTAAAGAAGTGGTTTAGGCCGTTTATATTATCAAAGGAAAAATAGTTTCAAGGGCCACAATGCAGTTTTATTGTTAACTAGCTATGTTTGTGCATTGTGATCCCACTCATGTCAACAACAAACATTCCAACCCTTCGAATAGAGACAGGATCCTACCACACACTGTCCCACTTACTGTATTTCATGTTGTGCCATGCAGACATGAACTTGGATTTTATCTTTTCCACTTCATCTGTCCCTGTGGCCTCCATATTCAAATCCTAGAGACAAAGCCATTGCTGTCCTGTAAGGCTTTTAGTTCTGCTCCTGGAAAACAAAGATACAACACTGGAAAACCAAACCCACAAACACATCCATGGGCACAGCATCCCTGACTCAGCTCCTTCAGCCCAACATGGCCAGGAACAGTAATCAACTCCATTACCAGGCACTGAGAAGCAATTCCCTGTTCCATGAGTAAGTGATAATTTAATCCCAAATATACACCAATAAAAGCATTGCACAAAGCCAAATAAAATGTAATGTTCCCCAACAGCTCTCCCTTGCACAACAAACTGCTCTAGAGCCCAGACCCTGTGCTGGCACAGCAGCACATTCACATAATCAGCAGTGAGGTGAGGAGCTATAGTGCATCTCACGGAACAGAGATGCTTTGCTGCTGAACAGAAGAAACACTTTATGGGTTAAAATCCACCACAGTGCAAAGTAATGCTGCAAAAATGCTTATAAATCTTCCAGTGGGGCTGGGAAGGAACGCACCTTTACTGGCTCTTTCTGAGCTGCAAGACAAGACATATTTCACCTTAAAGTAACCTAAATTGGTAATAATACAGAAAGAATACTTACTTTTATCCCTGTTTCTAAGAAGTCTGAGGAAATGAGACAGAATTCCCTCTGCAGCCCACTTGCCCCATTTGTAACAGCAAGTTTGCTACCCTGTTCACTGTGTGTATTCTGTCAGTGCTTCACTTTAAAATACTTATAAAGTTTTCTTGATGGTATTTGGTAGCCCAAACCCTTGCACAGACAGCTGAGAAATGAAGAGGTCCTGCTTGAACAGGAGCTCTTGTGGGACATCAAAAGTTGATCAGTAGTGGGACATCACTGCAACCTTCACTGGACTTTTAGCTCAATTCTGGTAACACCAAATGATGACATGAGCAAAAGTGAACTATGTCATTTAATTAATGAACTTGGGCCGGGAGACAACCTTCTTACACTAAAAGGAGAATCTAGAACTGTATTTACCTTTCCATGTGTTATTCCCCACTGAAGAGGGATCAAAAGCAAGACAAAGACTAAACTGTGTCACTTCTCTCCACTGGGAGCATATTTTAAGTAAAACCTAATCACTGACAGTGTAATTGAAGAGAGGGTGAAGATGTCAGAGCAACAATGTCTTCTGAGGGTGCTCATACAGATCCACTGCTTCTGGGATCTGCAGGCTGTGCCCAAACCACCCCTAGCACATTTCCCCACTATTCCATTGTATTACTTCATAAAGTTCTGTCAACAGCCTTTGGATAAAACAAGAAGCAACATCAGCTTACAACTGTGGGGGAAGACTAACTCTTTCTGCCAGTGAAAATAACCAATGGCTACAACCTTGCAATTCTGTGATCAGCCTTGTGTTGAGCCGGGGCTGTGTAGGGGAAGAGAAAGACAATTTCAGGTTGGGTTTTAACTTCCTGCTTTTTTTCCTCCTCTTTTTTTCTTTAGGAACAAAAAGGACAGATTGTATCAGCTCTAGATGGTAAGATGAACTTCTCCAGGAGGTGTGTTTGGTGCTGTTTGTGCTCACATGATCCATCAGCAACAGTCACTTATGCAGAGGCCACTGATTGCCTTAAAAGCCAATTCCTATAAAAGCTTCCCCTGGCTAAAATTAGAAATGAAACAAACTACAGTTCCCAAAGGGCCTGAAGGCAAAATTTTTTAACTCATTTTACTTTAGAAGACAATGGTCAACAGAGTACATTTATCTTTCCTCCAGTTACATTTCTTCCCTGGAATGATGCTAAAAGATGCAAAAAGGACTTCCAAGAGGAATGCCAACACAAACCAGGCACATTTATTCCACTGGAAAAATGCTAGCTCTTCCCATCAGTGTAAGAAGGCACCATTAAGAGGTCCACTGGAATTAATGGAACAGCACCAGGAGAAGGTCACAGGGAACACATTGTGTCCATTCAACCCCAATGGACACAATGATTAAATCTGAAGCTAATGGTTTTGTACCAAAGTTGTCTCACGTAAGAAGTTATCCAGAACATACACTACTGGGATGATATTCCTTCATGGAGCAGCAGGACACACCTCTGAATGAAACATGAAGCCCTGTCCTCTCAGACCCCCTTACCCGCTCTCCAAGGGAGGATTATTGCAGCCAGGCGGACGTTTATCAACAGTGATGGAACAAAAACAACATGAGGATTTGTTTGCTTTCATTAACAGCAGAAGAGCAACACAACCACAGTGGGAAGGATGAATGAAGCCTAAAGATGACTCTATTAATTAAGATTAGAGACCTTTTTGCTTTCCATTTCTACCTGGGAATAACCTGAACCAGCAGCAACGAAAGTCAGCGAAACCTGCATGGAACAACAGCAGCCAATAACACCTGGAGCTCATTTTTCAGGAGTTATCCCTCTCCAGCTGCAAACACATATTAACACAGTTAAAAACAACACTTTGAATCCATCATGTAAAGAAATACACACTATATATTTCTTTAAATCGTGAGCAATGCCAGAACACTTCACCCACCTAGCACCACAGCAAGGCAAGAGCTGTTCGTGCAGGAGCTGCTTCCTACTGCTGCTCCCAGCAGTGGGATCCAGAGCCCCTTCCCTCCCAGCTGGGGCAGTGGGATTCAGAGCCCCTTCCTACTCCTGCTCCCACCTGAGGCAGTGGATCCCGAGCCCCTTCCTACTGCTGCTCCCGGCCGGGACAGTGGGATCCAGAGCCCCCTCCTACTGCTGCTCCCAGCCTGGGCAGTGGATCCCAAGCCGGGGCAGTGGATCCCAAGATGCTTCCTACTCCTGCTCCCACCTGGGGCAGTGGATCCCGAGCCCCTTC